AAGTGAGTCCTGGCACCCAAGGGTGCATCCCAGTGCCCACCCACCCATCCCATGGGCCCCTCAGCACCCAAAGGTACCCGACGCCCAGCCACCCCAAGTGAGTCTTGTCCCCCACGGGCGCACCCCCGTGTCCCGCAACCCGAAGGCCCGCAGCACCCATGGGTGCCCACCTGGAACTCCTGCACGAAGATGAAGATGTTGTCGGCGCCCACGGCCAGCACGAGGAACGGCACCACCTCCAGGATGACGAGGGACGACGGCAGCCCCAGCAGCGCCAGGGCGCCCATGGCGGCCAGCACAGCACCCAGCACCACCGCGATGCCGCCCAGCGCCAGCGTCAGCTTCGACTCCACCTGCGGGCAGCGCGGCTCAGCGCCGCCCCACGGCGCCCCATAGCGCCCCATAGCGCCCCATAGAGACACATAGCGCCCCATAGCCACAGCCACATAGCGCCCCATAGAGACACATAGCGCCCCATAGAGCCACATAGCGCCCCATAGCGCCCCATAGCGCCCCATAGAGACACATAGCGCCCCATAGCGCCCCATAGAGACACATAGCGCCCCATAGCGCCCCATAGCACCCCATAAAGACACATAGTGCCCCATAGAGACACATAGCGCCCCATAGAGACACATAGAGATACATAGCGCCCCATAGAGACACATAGCGCCCCATAGCGCCCCATAGCACCCTATAGAGACACATAGTGCCCCATAGCGCCACATAGAGACACATAGCGCCCCATAGAGACACATAGCGCCCCATAGCGCCCCATAGAGACACATAGCGCCCCATAGAGACACATAGAGCCCCATAGCGCCCCATAGAGACACATAGCGCCCCATAGCGCCCCATAGCGCCCCATAGAGACACATAGCGCCCCATAGAGACACATAGAACCACACAGCGCCCCATAGAGACACATAGCGCCCCATAGCGCCCCATAGCGCCCCATAGAGACGCATAGCGCCCCATAGAGCCACATAGCGCCCCATCGCGCCCCATAGCGCCCCATAGAGCCACATAGCGCCCTATAGCGCCCCATAGCCACAGCCACATAGCGCCCCATAGCGCCCCATAGAGACACATAGCGCCCCATAGCGCCACATAGAGACACATAGCGCCCCATAGAGACACATAGCGCCCCATAGCGCCCCATAGCGCCCCATAGAGACACATAGCGCCCCATAGAGACACATAGCGCCCCATAGAGACACATAGAGCCACATAGCGCCCCATAGAGACACATAGCGCCCCATAGCGCCACATAGAGCCACATAGAACCACACAGCGCCCCATAGCGCCCCATAGCCACAGCCATATAGCACCCAATAGTGCCCCATAGCGCTCCATAGCGCCCCCAGCGCCCCATAGCCATAGCCATATAGCGCCCCATAGCGCCCCATAGCGCCCCATAGCCACAGCCACATAGCGCCCTATAGCGCCCCATAGCGCCCCATAGCGCCCCATAGAGCCCCATAGCCACAGGCACATAGCGCCCTATAGCGCCCCATAGCGCCCCATAGCCACAGCCATATAGCGCCCAATAGTGCCCCATAGCACCCCATAGAGCCACATAGCGCCCCATAGCCACAGCCATATGGCGCCCCATAGCGCCCCATAGCGCCCCATAGAGCCCCATAGCCACAGCCACATAGCGCCCCATAGCGCCCCACAGCCACAGCCCTATAGCGCCACATAGCGCCCCATAGCGCCCAATAGCCACAGCCCCATAGCGCCCCACAGTGCTCCATACCCCCATGACCCCATAGCTGACCCTGTGCCCCCATAACTGACCCTGTGACCCCATAAATGACCCCATAGATGATCCTGTGCCCCCATAACTGACCCCCTGACCCCATAGCAGACCCATAGCTGACCCCCTGACCCCTTAACTGAGCCCCTGCCCCCACAGCTGACCCCTGACCCCATAGCTGACCCATAACTGACCCCCTGACCCCATAACTGACCCCTGACCCCACAGCTGACCCACAGCTGAACCCCTGACCCCATAACTGACCCCTGACCCCACAGCTGACCCCTGACCCCACAGCCGACCCCTGACCCCATAACTGACCCCTGACCCCACAGCTGACCCCTGACCCCATAACTGACCCCTGACCCCACAGCAGGCCGCGTACCCACAGGCTGCCCCACGCGCTGTACTCGCCGAGCGCCAGCGCGATGTAGAGGAAGACGAGGAGGTAACTGGTGGCGAACACCGGCAGGTCCTGCGCCGTCGTGCGGCTCAGCTCGTCCTCCAGGGAGCGCTGCGACCGCGCGCACATCAGGGCCCGCAGCACCCATGGGTGCCCCCGGCCACCCCTAGGGAGACCGGCGCCCCAGGGTGCACCCCAATGCCCTTCAACCCAAAGGGACCCCCAGTTCCTGATGGAACACAGTGCCCACCCAGCCCAAGTGACTTTCTGGCACCCATGGGTGCAGCTCCATGCCCTCCAACCGAAAGGGACTCCCAGCACCCAAGGGTGCCCCCATAGGGACCGTGGCACCCAAGGGTGCACCTCCATGCCCTTCAACCCAAAGGGACCCCCGGTGCCCAAGGGTGAAGCCCAGACCCCTCCCAAGGAGATCCCAGTGCCCTCTCACCCATAGGGACCCCCAGCACCCATGGGTGCCCACATCCACCCATAGGGACGCCAGCGCCCCAGGGTGCACCTCCATGCCAACCCCTGAACCCAAAGGAACGCTGTGCCCACCCAACCCGTGGGGATCCCTGGCACCCACGGGTGAACCTCCATGCCCTCCAACCCAAAGGGACACCCAGCACCCATGGGTGCCCCCATAGGGACCGTGGCACCCAAGGGTGCACCTCCATGCCCTTCAACCCAAAGGGACGCCCGGTGCCCAAGGGTGAAGCCCAGACCCCTCCCAAGGAGATCCCAGTGCCCTCTCACCCATAGGGACCCCCAGCACCCATGGGTGCCCCCGGCCACCATTAGGGACCCTGGCGCCCCAGGGTGCACCCCAATGCCCTTCAGGACCCCCAGTTCCTGATGGAACGCAGTGCCCACCCAGCCCAAGTGACTTTCTGGCACCCACGGGTGCACCTCCATGCCCTCCAACCAAAAAGAACCCCCAGCACCCATGGGTGCCCCCATAGGGACTGTGGCACACAAGGGTGCACCTCCATGCCCTTCAACCCAAAGGGAACCCCGGTGCCCAAGGGTGCAGCCCAGACCCCTCCTAAGGAGATCCCAGTGTCCACCCACCCATGAGGACCCTGGCACCCAAGGGTGCACCTCCATGCCCTCCAACTCATAGGGACCCCCAGCACCCAAAGGAACCCAATGCCCACCCAGCCCAGGTGAGTCACCAGCACCCAAGGGTGCAGTACAGGGCCCTCCCAAGAAGAACCCAGTGCCCACCCACCCATAGGGACCCCCAGCACCCATGGGTGCCCCCATCCACCCATAGGGATGCTGGCACCCCAGGGTGCACCTCCACACCAACCCCTGAGCCCGAAGGAACGCAGTGCCCACCCAACCCATGGGGATTCCTGGCACCCATGGGTGCATCTCCATGCCCTCCAACCGAAAGGGACTCCCAGCACCCATGGGTGCCCCCATAGGGACCGTGGCACACAAGGCTGCACCTCCATGCCCTTCAACCCAAAGGGACGCCCGGTGCCCAAGGGTGCAGCCCAGACCCCTCCTAAGGAGATCCCAGTGCCCTCTCACCCATAGGGACCCCCAGCACCCATGGGTGCCCCCATCCACCCATAGGGACGCCAGTGCCCCAGGGTGCACCTCCATGCCAACCCCTGAACCCAAAGGAACGCTGTGCCCACCCAACCCGTGGGGATCCCTGGCACCCACAGGTGAACCTCCATGCCCTCCAACCGAAAGGGACACCCAGCACCCATGGGTGCCCCCATAGGGACCGTGGCACCCAAGGGTGCACCTCCATGCCCTTCAACCCAAAGGGACCCCCGGTGCCCAAGGATGCAGCCCAGACCCCTCCTAAGGAGATCCCAGTGTCCACCCACCCATGCAGACCCTGGCACCCAAGGGTGCACCTCCATGCCCTCCAACTCATAGGGACCCCCAGCACCCAAAGGAACCCAATGCCCACCCAGCCCAGGTGAGTCACCAGCACCCAAGGGTGCAGTACAGGGCCCTCCCAAGAAGAACCCAGCGCCCACCCACCCATAGAGACCCCCAGCACCCATGGGTGCCCCCATCCACCCATAGGGACGCCGGCGCCCCAAGGTGCACCTCCACGCCAACCCCTGAGCCCGAAGGAACGCTGTGCCCACCCAACCCGTGGGGATCCCTGGCACCCATGGGTGCAGCTCCATGCCCTTCAACCTAAAGGGACTCCTGGCACCCATGGGTGCCCCCAGCCACCCTTAGGGACGCCGGCGCCCCAGGGTGCACCCCCATGCCCTTCAACCCAACGGGACCCCCAGTTCCTGATGGAACGCAGTGCCCACCCAGCCCAAGTGAGTCCCTGGCACCCACGGGTGCAGCTCCATGCCCTCCAACCGAAAGGGACCCCCAGCACCCATGGGTGCCCCCATAGGGACCGTGGCACACAAGGGTGCACCTCCATGCCCTTCAACCCAAAGGGACCCCCGGTGCCCAAGGGTGCAGCCCAGACCCCTCCTAAGGAGATCCCAGTGCCCTCTCACCCATAGGGACCCCCAGCACCCATGGGTGCCCCCGGCCACCTATAGGGACCTCGGCGCCCACGGGTGCACCTCCACGCCCTTCAACCCAAGGGAACTCCCGGCACCCAATGGCACAGCCCAGCACCCACTCAAGAAGAATGCAGCGCCTGCCCACCCTTGGGGACCTCCAGCACCCACGGGTGCCCCCACCCGCCCATACGGACCCCGGCACCCACAGGTGCACCTCCACATCCTTCAACCCAAGGGGACTCCCGGCACCCAATGGTGCAGCCCAGCGCCCTCCCAAGAAGAACCCAGTGCCCACCCACCCGTAAGGACCTCCAGCACCCATGGGTGCCCCCACCACCCATAGTGACCCCGGCACCCATGGGTGCACCTCCATGCCCTTCAACCCAAGGGAACTCCCGGCACCCAAGGGCGCAGTCCAGCACCCACTCAAGAAGAACCCAGCGCCCGCCCACCCTTGGGGACCCCCAGCACCCATGGGTGCCGCCGCACCTCGGCCATGAAGGAGACGCTGAGGTTGTGGCTGTGGGCGCTCTGGAAGCTGCGCACGGCCTGCAGGAAGCGCTGCTCCCAGCTCAGCACCCAGCGGCGCCGCGCGTCGCCCGCGGGGAAATTGTTCAGCGAGTAGGTGAGGATCAGCGCCGCCGCCTCCGTGTACTCGGAGCCTGGGAACGGCACCCGCAGCCCCACAGCGCCCCATAGCACCCTATAGCACCCTATAACACCTCATAGCGCCCCATAGCACCCTATAGCACCCTATAACACCTCATAGCGCCCCATAGCGCCCCATAGCACCCTATAGCGACCCATAGAGCCCCATAGTGCCCCATAGTGCCCCATAGCACCCTATAGCGCCCCATAGCACCCTATAGCACCCCACAGCACCCCATAGCGCCCCATAGCACCCTATAGCGACCCATAGAGCCCCATAGTGCCCCATAGCACCCTATAGCACCCTATAACACCTCATAGCGCCCCATAGCGCCCCATAGCACCCTATAGCGCCACACAGCGCCCCATAGCGCCCTATAGCACCCCACAGCACCCCACAGCACCCTATAACACCTCATAGCGCCCCATAGCGCCACACAGCGCCCTATAACACGTCATAGCACCCCATAGCGCCCCATAGCATCCTATAGCACCCCATAGCGCCACACAGCGCCCCATAGCACCCTATAACACCTCGTAGTGCCCCATAGCACCCCATAGCACCCTATAGCACTCCATAGCGCCCCATAGCACCCTATAACACCTCACAACACCCCATAGCACCCTATAACACCTCATAGTGCCCCATAGCGCCCCACAGCGCTCCACAGCGCCACACAGCACCCCATAGCACCCTATAACACCTCGTAGTGCCCCATAGCACCCCATAGCACCCTATAGCGCCCCATAGCGCCCCATGGCACCCTATAACACCTCATAGTGCCCCATAGCACCCTATAACACCTCATAGTGCCCCATAGCACCCCATAGCACCCTATAGCGCCCGATAGCACCCCATAGCGCCCCATAGCACCCCATAGCACCCTATAGCACCCCATAGCACCCTATAACACCTCATAGCGCCCCATAGCACCCCTGAGTGCCCCACAGCACCCCAGAGCGCCCCATAGCGCCCCATAGGGTTCCACAGCACCCAATAGTGCCCCATAGGGGACCATAGCACCCCATAGCACCCCATAGGGCCCCATAGCACCCATAGTGCCCCATAGCACCACACAGCGCCGCACAGCACCCCATAGCACCCTATAGTGCCCCATAGTGCCCCATAGCGCCCCATAGGGCCCCATAGCGCCCCTGAGTGCCCCACAGCACCCCATAGTGCCCCATAGAGCCCCATAGCACCCCATAGCACCCCATAGCACCCTATAGCGCCCCATAGCGCCTCATAGCGCCCCATAGCGCCCCATAGCGCCACACAGCGCCTCATAGCACCCCATAGCACCCCATAGGGTTCCACAGCACCCCATAGTGCCCCATAGGGGACCATAGCACCCCATAGGGCCCCATAGCACCCATAGTGCCCCATAGCGCCACACAGTGCCCCATAGGGGACCACAGCACCCCATAGTGCCCCACAGCACCCCATAGCGCCCCATAGCACCCTATAGCGCCCCATAGGGTTCCACAGCGCTCCATAGCACCCCACAGCACCCCATAGTGCCCCACAGCACCCCATAGCGCCCCATAGCGCCCCATAGTGCCCCATAGCGCCACACAGCGCCCCATAGTGCCCCACAGCACCCCATAGTGCCCCACAGCACCCCATAGCGCCCCATAGCACCCTATAGCACCCCATAGCGCCCCATAGCACCCCATAGTGCCCCACAGCACCCCATAGCACCCCATAGCGCCCCATAGCACCCTATAGCGCCCCATAGCGCCCCATAGGGCCCCATAACACCCCATAGTGCCCCATAGCGCCACATAGCACCCCATAGCACCCCATAGCACCCCACAGGGGACCACAGCACCCCATAGTGCCCCATAGTGCTCCATAGGGGACCATAGCACCCCATAGCACTCCGTGACCCCACAGCACCCCCCAGCACCCCGTGACCCCACAGCACCCCATCACCCCCACCCACAGCCCCACTGACCTGGGTAGCCCCCGAAGGCGATGTAGGGGAAGACGGGCCCCCCATAGGCGGCCATGCAGCTCATCTCCAGCGCCGTGATGTCCATGAAGGACAGCGGGGAGCTGTGGGTGCGGTTATGGGGCGGCTGAGCGGGGTGGGACCCATGGGTGCCCCCACAACCCCACAACCCCGCTCAGCCCCACGCCGCGTCCTTTGGGCGCCGCCCCACCCCACAGTCTGCGCCCCCTGCCGAGCGCCGACCCCATAGCCAGCGCCCCAACCCTACAACTCGTTGCCCCATAGATGCCACCCCACACCCAACATCGCACGGCCGGCACCCCGGCCCTACAACCCGCCACCCCACAGCTCCCACCCCATACTCACCCCTCCCATGGCCGCCACCCCAACCCTACAACTCATCACCCCACAGACACCATCCAACACCCACCACCCTACAGCCATCACCCCGACCCTACAACCCATCACCCCACACCCAGCACCCAATGCCCACCACCCCAACCCTACAACCCAGCACCCCATACCCGACACCCCATGGCCACCACCCCAACCCTACAACTCATTGCCCCACAATTCCCACCCCACACCCAACACTCTACAGCCGTCACCCCAACCCTACAACCCGTCACCCCACACCTCCCACCCCATACTCACCCCT